GCGCTGGGGACGTGCCCTCGCCTCAGCAGGGCTGGGTGCCCGCGCATCGCCTGCTTCCTTGGCTCTCGGGTGCTGGGACTCCCGGGTTTCAGGAGAGATGTCTGTGTAAGGGGAGAGGGTACCTTGCTGCATCAGAACAAAATTATTTTTTGTCAATTTGTAGTTCACTTTGTGGCTTCCCTGAAGGCCATTTTGTTAACTTTAGCTGAAAACAACCTGTTTAATTCGTTTAACTAGCTTATTTTCAAGTATACTGTTTCTCCAGCAGTCAAGGTTAAAATCTAGGAGCTGAAGGGTCTAATATAACATGATAATGAAAAGAAGTGCCACAAAGCTAGCTAGGGGGAACTAATGCATGCCTTGCAGCTATTTGGCCAAGTCTGTTTTTTGAGTCATGAGCCTTCTTGGAAAGGGCCTGGCCTGGTATTTAAATGGCACCACGTGTGATGTTTGTGCTTGGGGGCTTACGTTAACATGCTTTTGGCAGTATTGCAGTGAGCTGGATGGGAAACGAAACTGATTGTCACGCTAGTGTACTGTTTTTCTGATAAAAAACAAAAGCTCTGTAGTTAACTGAATTAAGACCTTTCTAAACCAGTTGCAGCATATCTGCTGACATGCATCAGGGTAAGGGAGATGTAGCTGCATCATGCAGTTCTGAAAATTAGAAAGTGACTGAAAAGTAACATGGACGTTCTGCCATTCCTGAAAAAGGAGCAATCTAGGGATGTTACTCCTTACTGTTCTCTGGACTAGAACAGTTTTGTTCTGACTTCCTTTGGAACGAGCGTTTCCTCAATTTCCCGTCCAAAAGTTTTTGGCTGTCCTTAAGTGCCCGGGTTCAAAACTCCCAGAGGGGGAAAAACTCTGCGTCTGGGCACCTAGATGCCTCTGAGGGTTGTTTCCATGTTACCCATTTGAGTAACGATTCCAGAAAGTGAGGAACAGGTTGGATGCACTGGTGCTGGGTGAGAGGGTTTAGGCTATTGCAGCAGTTGACTGCTACTTCTGAGAGCAAAGGGAAAAAGCCTGTGAACCCCTACAGATGGAAGAGGAAGGCTGGCAATATGGGTTCCAGATAGTACAATATATAGGGACAGGGCATGAAGAATGAGACTTCTCGATACGTGTTCCTTTATCTCATGAGCAGGACAGCAAACAAACTGTGGGGGTCTGCCGTCAGCTTGCTAACCCACAGCAGGACGACTGCTCTCGGCAGTCGAAGGACCATTTTGTGTGGGTGGGTGGGTGGGATGGTTGTTTTGCTT